GGCGCCGAGCCACAAAATTATTTTCATTGCTACTTCATAACTGTAATTTTGCTACTGTTATGAATCGTAATGTAAATATCTGATATGCAGGATGTATTTAGGCGACCCCTGTAAAAGGGTTGTTTGACCCCAAAAGGGGTCACAACCCACAGGTTGAGAACTGTTGAACTAGAGTAAGACCTGCACAGTGCCCAAGACCAGCGCCTTATACTAGTGCAATGAATAAAGGAGCTGACCTAGACAACACTGCATGAAAAGCATTTGTTCCAGTGCTTTCCTGAATCTCAAAAAATACACAAGTAATAAGCCCTCAACTCCGAAATGCGAAAGGCCGTGACCATGAAACTTCCCCAGACCCACCTTTGTCTATCTTACTACATTTCTAGAGATTTATGAAAGAATGTGGAAAACAAGAAAATTATTCTTTTCCTTTTGGCAACCTTCCTAGTCTTAGAGCCTGTGTGGAAACCACCCACTTCCACTTCCTCGTTCAGTTAAGTTTCTGTTTCTTCAATTCCCAACTCACAGTAGAAATATTAACTTTGACATTCACTTAAATGAGAAATTAAACTTCCTAAAGTTTATAAATAAATGTGAAAAGAATACCTCGACAGGAGAGATGATCTCAAAGTTTAAGTTCTTTGAGTCTTTCTTTTGACGATAGCAATGCCAAGGACTTGAAAGATGGGAGCAATGAAGGGAATGAACAGTTTAGGAGAAAAAAAAAATCCTCAAATCTATATTACAAAATGCTGAGGCACCGCTCTGCACATGGGTGGGGGACATTAAATGAAGCCATGCCCATGGAAATCACTGTGACTGCCTGACTGCACACCGAGTGCTCTGCAGTGAATGCTAGGCCACCTTCATTCACTGGAGAAGGTGGCTACTATGCAGTTGGGAGATCTGGGTTCAAGTTCTTGCTCTGCCACAAAGTCACAAAGATTGTAAAGAGTAAATGACCTTGCTTCTCTTGGCTCCATTTTTTTTTTTTTTTTTTTTGCAGTTTTTGGCTGGGGCTGGGTTGGAACCCACAACCTCTAGCATATAGGGCCAGCGTTCTACTCCTTGAGCCACAGGCGCTGCCCTCCATCTTTTAATAGAAATAACATCCCCTACCTCACTGGATTATTTCAGAACCAAGTAGGAAAAAATTGTAGGAGAGGACTAACTTTGCCTTAACTTCTCGGAGCCCGGGGCTACTGCAATGCAAAGGAAAGAAGCAGAAGCCCGAGTTAGTGAGCAGGTGGCCCAGACCAGTTGCAGTGGCCTGTGGACTAGATAAGAGTGGGTTCTCTTGCCTGGTACAGTTTTATCTTCTGCTCATGAGGGAAGTGCAGAGTCGACACAAACAGGTGGACAAAGTTACTCTTCAGGCCTTTTCTGTGAAGATTTTCAGCCACAATTTGGCTAACAAAATTCTTGCCTGTGCCAGCCCAGCCATGTAAGGAAAGGGTCAATGGTTTCTTGGGACTTTTGTTGTTCCTGAAGCCAGTCAGTGCCTTGAGAATCACTTCTGTGGCCACATGCTGTCCAAACAGTTTCTCCTCCAAATCCAGCTTGAGAGCTGCAATAGCCAGCCCCAGAAGAGAGAAAGAACACATATTAAAAATGCACCAGAAAAGCAGCACTTTGCCAACTGGCCAAAGTGAGAGGCACAGATTAGCGAGGGATCCAGCCAAACCCCAGGACCAACAGTGAGGTAGAGTCAAATGCTACTTCTAAGAAAATGCATTCTGGGAATTTTCTTTACACTGAAGTATCTGATAAGGAAGCTAAATGTAGTCGTTTATTCAAGGATGAACCATCTCTTGACTGAGCTGCATGCTATTTCCCCAGTCACCCCTGATGGCTGGTAAAAAAACAAACAAAAAAAAAGGACCAAATGTGGGCTTTCTGGGCCATGTCACATGTCTGAAACCTACTTAACAGAGTTCACCTAGCGCATACGGGCTGGCTATGCTACTTCAGTTTGTTCGAACAGTAACCCCAAGAAAAGCAAACATAGAGAGGTACGTGGGCAGAGCCCCACCATCTGGTGGCTGTTTCCCAAGGCGCTGCTTCCAGGGCTGGGGTGCGGGCCAAGCTCCCGCGAATGATTCCCGGGCTGGCTCCTGTCCCCCCGCCCACCCCGCTTGGGATGACCGCTGACTGGCCGCCGCGCGCCCAGGCCACAGAGCCCCTCGCGTCCCGGGATCCGGCTTCCAACCCGCAGCCCTTGAGGGGCCGACCCGCAGCTCATGCGCCCCTGCCGTACCCGAGGCGTTGAGCGGCTGCTCCTCGCGGCAACACTCGGCGAAGCGGCAGTAGACGTCCTTGTAGGACAGGTAGCCGGTGAGGGCTGACACGGCCCCGATGGCGATGCCCACGCTGATAGGCTCAAACGCCGTCACCACTCGGGCAGCCAGCAGCAGCAGCAGCAGCAGCACCGAGGCGCCCGGGAACCGCTCAGCTCGTTGCATCCCACCGCCTCTCAGCCCACCACTGCAAACGAGCCGGGCTCCCGCGCGGCCCAACACAACTTCCTGCTGCGTCACTTCCGCTCCGCAGGCCCGCCCACCGTGGGCGCGGCCATGTTGGTGAGGGGCGGAGAGTCGGGGCCGCGCGCCACCATCTTTGTGAGTGGCCGGAAGGTGTGTGGTGAGTCTTAGGCTTCAACGCGACCACACCGCGGGCTTGTTTTCTTAAGATAGTCTCAGAGCCTAAAGATTTTGCCTTGTCACCCTTAGCTTTACTCCCCCCCGGAGCTATAATCAGCGTTCTCAGGTCTGCCCACCTGCCTGAAACAGTCACCGAGCGCTGTGCGTGCTGGGCCCTAGGCTGAGCTGGGCGGCCCCGACGCAGCCCTGCCCGGTGTCCACACTCAACCCAGAAGTCGCTCCAGTCCGCGTGTTCCGGCGCAGGCCCCTTGCTGGATGCGGGGAGGCCGCAGGAGGCAGGGAGGCGGGCGCTGCGGGGGCGGCTGGGAAAAGGCGAGGACCCCTGCTATGAGCACCGCGGCGGTGATGCAGTCAGTGTCAGGACCTTTGCTTGTTTTTTATAATCCTCTCCTTTAATTAGCTTAACTTTTGAGTTGGCTCCCAGAAATGATGGATTTTCTGCAAGGCAAAGGAGCTGAGATTCTGAAGGCCCCAGGGCAGACTTCCTGAGCCTAGACTCATCATCCCAAGTCACATATCCCTCCTTTTTTTTATTATTACTTTTTATTAAATCATAACTTTGTACATTGATGCATTTATGGGGTTCAGTGTACTGCTTTGATATACAATGTGGAATGCTTAAATTGAACTAAGTAACACATCCATCACACTTATACTCTTTTAAAAATAGTTTTGAAATGTACCATTGCATCATGCACAGTAGGTGAGGTGCCCCCAAATACCCTCCCCCTGTAATCTCAATTTAACTTCGAGGGCCATTGACTTATGTTTAAAGAAGCTTTCTCAGAGTCCACATGAAGGGACGTTCCTTTAGAGCCGCTCAGAACTGATTAGAAAGCTAATCATGCAAGAGGCAGACCCTGAAAGCAGGGTCTGGCTGTCTCTGGAATGTTCTGGAAGGGACCTTGGGAGCGGAGAAACAAGATAAGTTAATGTGCATCTCAGTTAAAGGTTTCACCTGTTTTTTTACAGATGAACAGCTGAATAAGTTTTTATTCTTTGTATTTTTATCTGTCGCCAGCTGGCTTATTATTATCAAGTGTACATGCAGAACTTAGTGTTTTTAAGAGTATGTTACTTTTCAGGAAATAAAGCTAGGTTGCTACATGCCTGAGCGAGCTGTATCCTCCTCTCCTCTGTACATTCTGACTGCTGATCTTATCTCTGCGACCCCAGCTGATCATTTCCAGCAATACCCTCCTCTCATATTCCCCCTCCCCTCTCTCTCCTCTTCCCTTCTACTTTCTGGACTATAGTTATGTTTTACCATTCATATGAATGTGTAGGTGATTATATATTGATTTCATAGTAATATTGAGTACACTGGATACTTTTTTTTCCCATTCTTGAGATACTTCACTAAGAAGAGTATGTTCCAGGTCGGTCCAGGAAAACATAAAAGATGTGAAGGCTCCATCTTCTTTATGGCTGCATAGTATTCCATGGGGGTACATATACCACAATTTATTGATCCATTCATGGGTCAGTGGGCACTTGGGCTGTTTCCATGTCTTGGCTATGCAGTAAACATTCTGGTGCATATGTCTTTGTTGTAAAATAGTTTTTGATCATCTGGGTATATACCTAGTAGAGGAATTGCAGGATTGAACAGTAGATCTACTTTTTATCCCTCCTTTTTGAGGCAGCTTCTCTGTTCTCACATCTTTCATATTAAAAATTCTTTCTTGGCAATCCTGGGAGTCTCAATAATTGGATGTTTGTATGATAAGCCACTAGACCTTGGAGGAAATAAAGTGGGGCAGGGAGGACTTTTTTCTAGCCTGGCAAGAAAGGAGGAGTAGAGTGATCTACACAGAGAACCGAACTGTCAGTTTGAAGAACTGAAAGTATTTCACATGGTGGAAGGTGGTGAGAGATGGAGATGGAGAACTAGAAGAGACAGGAAGATGCTGGTCATGCAAATGCAGTAAGGAATCTGGCTTTTGTTCTGGGGATAATAGGAAGCCACAGAAGGTTTTATGCAGTGAGCAACATGGTGAAATAGAGATCATTCTGGCTGCAGCATTCACAGACAGAGGGCAGGGAACCAGTGAGGAGGCTGTTGTGTTACTGAAAGCTCTGTCCTTGCCCCCACCCCTGAATCAGTAAGAACAAGGACAAGTGGTTTGAGGAAAAGGAAAGAGAAATATATTAATTTGCTGGCAAATGAGGGTGTCAGACTAGTATCTCAAAAGACTACAATCCTACCTTTAAGCAGAAAAACCTAGCTTTTAAAAGGGGGGACTGGGTGTGGTGACAATTGGGCTTGGGTCTATGGGACCAGTGTCCCGTGTCCTGACTTTGGGGTGGTGTTGTTCAGCTATTAATTGTTGGTTTCCATAGACTTTGATCTTGTGACAATTCTGCTGAACTATCTCCTGTGGTTTAAGATACAAGAAAACAAATAGCAAAAACATTTTTCTGTCCCTTTGATTACTGGCCTCAGGAAGGAATATGCAGATTTTAATTCCCTAAAAGGGCAGTGAACAGGAGTAAAGAGACAACCCATAAAACATTTCACTGCTCTGTTATAATTTGTCCAGGTAACAGCCTTGGTCCAGGCTTTTCCAAAATTGGTTGAGTTCATCCATTAGCCAATCTGTCAACAAGCGTTTAATGAATACTGGCTTCGCGTCAGACCCAGTGCTGCTGTATGCGGGGACCACAGCAGAGAAGAGGACAGACATGGTCCCTAGTCCTCAGCCTAGTTAAAAAGAAAAAACAACAATCACTCTTTCCTAATATTGTTGATTTGAGGTTTGAGCTTTTGATTTCTACCCCACCACCCACTATGTTGAAATTGTTTTTATATTTTTTACTTCATAGCCATCCTTGATATCATTTGTTTGCATTTAATGTGTTTGTTTTGATTGATGGATATTTACTTTAGTTCTTTTTTTTTTTTTTTTAAGGAATATGAGCCAAAGTTTCATTTGTTCACTTCTTGCATTTTAAGTACTCTTTGATGACATCCTTGGTCTGAGATTCTTTGCAACCAGCCACTTTGTCAGGCTTCTCTTTGTCAATTTTACAAAGACCTCTCCATTCCCCTAGTTTCTTGTCATCAACCTTAATTAGGTTGATTTGGTGTTCAACACTAAGGTCCTCCACCAACCTGACTTACGCAGGCTCAACACAGTTGGATACAAGCACACAAAGATGAGCTTGGCACTTGTCTAAGGCTTTGGCAGCTTCACAGATTCCATGTACAAGGCCATCGTGGGTGAGGGTGGTCTTCAGCACCTCTTGTAAAGCAGAGCTAACGTCCATCACACCTCCAGCAGCAATGCCTTGCACCTTCCTTGGCCACGGCAGTGGGTGAAGGGTGAAACTGAATCTTTTCTTTTTTGTTTTTGTGAGACAGTTTCGCTCTATTGCCCTGGGTGAAGTGCCATGATGTCAGCCCAGTTCACAGCAACATCCAACTCCTGAGTTCAAGTGATCTTCCTGCCTTAGCCTCCCAAGTACCTGGGACTATAGGCACACACAATCATCACAAT